TGATCGGACGAAAGACACAAACAACTTTTCCAGTTATTTCCAGACCCACAAGTTGACAAGGTCGATTCCAGAGAGTTAGAGTTACTTAGGAGCCCAATAGGTAAACTTTAAACTTTTTTGGTATATTAAACCCCCTACGAAAAGAACAGTTTAAACTTTTGTGGGCCAGGGTACTGGACAGCTAAGAAAGCTTGAGGGTTTAGGGATGAGGTTAGGGTCCGCTGATTTACAGATGAATAAATGGGCGTGTAGTATATTGCAGTTTGTTGGCAAGTACTCCACAAGTTTCGTATGGGTTAACAGGTTTAGAGAGAGTTCTTCTGCACATACACAAGCATGTACATGTACGAACATGTACAGAAAATTGAGTTTGTTCGCCTCAGATAAGTCTGAGAAGGAGAACTGAGAGGACACATACTAAGTCTCGACACCGAAGCCTCGGGGCACTTAAGATAGTATAATTACCTCTAAACCCCAAACCCTAACCCCTAAACCCTAAACCCTAAACCCTACACCAAATAAGCCTTAAACCCTAAACCCAAAGTCCTATCGGAGAGAGGATGTCTGGTAAAAAGCTGCTGAGGCATCCTCCGTCTCTCTCCAGGCGTTCAATGCAGGCCTGGATGGCTTGAGCATGTTTGGGGTTCAGGGGTTGAGGCATGTAGAACTCTGTAGAGGTTTAGAGGTTTAGGGTTTAGGGGTCTAGTGTGAGTACCGAGAGGGAAAACTAGAGCACCTACCCTAGGGGCACTAACTACAACCCTCCCGGTCTGGCCTCCGCACTGCTGAACGCCTTTTCCAGCATGCTCGAACACGATGCCTTGCGGTCAGTCGGGCGCTCCTACATGCCAGAGAAACCAGTGTGCTCATACGGAAACAGCCCAGCTTCATCGGTAGATGCCATACATTCAAGTTTCACACTGGTTCTCTCTGTGATCTTTCTATCACAGATCAAGGCCTTCTCCTGCCCTAGAGCAAGAGGCAAAAGCAGCTTCTCTGCACACGCCTCCCACCAACCGGAGGGGTTCTGGGGCTTAGTCAGTACATCGGCTCTTTGAGCCACTCCTGGAATCCATCCTATGGGGAGCTCAGTTCCCCAAACTTCGGAGCGCAGACATTGTCGGATGGCCGCCAGGTCGACGGCGAGTCTTTTGTCAGCGGGGACTCGTGGGATTCCTTGCTTGTTCAAGTGGTCAAACAGAGAGAGAGCGACAGTCACTGAGACACAGCAAGGGCATCCTCGCTTGTTCCACAGTGACCAACCTCCCGCTCGCAATCGACTCGAACATAGAGCGGATGTATTGGGCAGTTTCAAGTCCTTCTGCACACGCTTGAGATTCAGCTCCGAATGTGCTCCTGCAGACACGCTGCCCTGCCCTTGACTTCCAGTCGGCAACACTGAAGTTCCCGGCTTCTCCCGACAAACATCCACGATCAGCAAAGGTAACGAGGATACCCAGCTGCGAAGCAACCTTGGAGTTGCCTTTCTTAGCCTTCCTTTTGCCTTCGCGCTCGGCGAATGGCCCTTCCGTCTGTAGGCCCTGGCGGTCTTCTTCAGGCGTGAGGATGTAGTAGTCCTCCTCCGGATCCGGCTCAGGGACGTTCGCCCAAGCGGCGTCGTGGTACACGATGATCATCATGCGCTCCGGTGGGATGTACCTGAAGGTTAGGCCGTGGTTCTTGTAGAGGAGGGCCTTGGCTGCGGTGGCATTGGTAAAACGGAGGTCGGCATATGTGGGTTGTTTCTGCAGCTGCTGGGCCATACTGACCGAGCAGGTCAAGTCCGGACGACTGGTAGACGACATCCATGAGAGGGCCCCAATGAGGCTGCGGTTATCGCTGATGAGCTCGTCGGTGGCGACCTCGTCGTCCTTCGCACCGCCGGGGATGTCGAGCTGGAAGAGAACTCGAAATCGTCCATCTCCCAGTCCTCGATAGGGAACGCCGCAGACAACCCTTCTTGTATAAGTCCTTGAAGAGAACCAGGGGCCGCGATGAGGAGGTCGTCGACGTGGCATCCCATAAAGGCAACCGGCTTGCCGACAAAGTTCCCGTTCTCCCATTTCCGTAGGGCGAACACGCAAGGATCAAGCGGGCACTGGTCGAACTGGTAGTACGTCTTCTTGCCCGCTTCATAGATAGGGATCTGGATCGCGGTGATGCTGGAGCGCAAGTCGTTCCACCACTCATGAGGACTTGTAGCTAAGCCGAAGACGTTCTTCTTGATCTTAACGAGCTCGCCGGGGCTCATCCCTGGGAATCCCGTCCTCGGCTGATGCATGTAGAGCTCTCTGCTCAAGTAGCTCCCGGTAAGAAATGCGCACCTGATATCACCGGCAGCAAGAGTCCACGGGCTTGGCTCCTTTCTCCCATTGGCAACTGTTTGCAGAAGGCAGGCAAAGCCGCACCTCGACAAAGCCGCTCTGTCCCGAGGTCCGGGTCCATGTGCCCGGCGATAACCAGCCTCGATTTACATTTCCAGGGAACATCTTCTCCGTCTCGGCGGCAGGCGTAGTTTTTGTCCTTGTAGGCCCATCGTGAGCGAAGAACACGGTTGGGTGGCACCCGCGCCCGGACGGCATTGCTCTCCTCTAAGGTAAGAGGCTGTAACGCGTCGTAGCTGAGGTGTTCGCGCCATTGAACTTCTTCGGCCTCGCGAAACTTCTGGTGGGCCTCCTCCGGAATCTCCGACCATTTCAACTCCTTCTCTTTGCGTTGTTCAACGCCGCGTCTCGTGAGGTCACTCCGGAGCATCCACACCTCGCTGTCCCTCTGACCCATCTCGCTGGGGTTAGTCTTGCGCTTGAGGCGTCTCAGGGGCGGCCTGAGATCATCTTCCGCCATCGGCTCCAGGATTGGGGCCTCGCCTTCGCCTTCCTCGAAGTTCATCTCGATCGGTTCGTAGTCCACCGAGACGTCATCGACGGGGTCGTAGGGCATGTCCTCGTCCTCCTCGTCCTCGAAGACATCCGGGTCGTCGGGGTCATACTCGAGGAGCTTCTCGACCTCGTCTCGGCTATTCATAGTGAGGAAGGATCCGACCTCCTCGGGGTTGTAGGTCGCACGTGCTCGGGTGAGGTCAGCCGACATCGGCCCCCCTTGGAAAGCCAGTAGTTGCCTCCCTCTTTGCCCACAATGACTGCCGGGCCTGACCATTCTCCTTTGCGCCGGTTCTTCGGCTTAAACCAGAAGTGGACGGTCTCCCCAATCTCGTAGGGTCGTGAAGCCACCCGCGTCCTCTGAAGCAGCGCTTTCTGGAGACGCTGATCGACCTGGCTTTTACACGCGCGGCAGCGCGCATCGCCGCCTGTCTTTGGAACTTCGCGTCCTGTGTCACGTCCCAGACCAGTCCTTCTCCTCCATCGGGATCACGTAGGTCTTCGGGTAGTCGCGGGGCCTTTCCAAACACCCATTGGGACGGGCTATAGCCGCACTTGCGGCGAAGATCATTCTTGGCGCTGTTGATGGTCGAGGTCGCTAGGTCGACTTCGTCCTCGCCGACACTCATCTGGTAGGTCACTCTTTCCCATATCGACTTCCACCATGCCTGCTGTCGCTCCACCATCCCGGCTTGCCAATGACTCTGTGTTGCCACATTCCTGACACCAATGTTGTGCCAGTCACATAGCCGTGCAAGGGCGACTTGAGGACCTCCTTCAAGATCAGCAACAACAGTCTTTGGCGGGCCGAATGGCAGGACCCACATCTCATTGAACTTGGCCTCAATGTCGTCGGCGCCTTGTCCATCGAGCCTGGCGGCGAGGTGGTAGGTCGTGCCGTAGCCAACTACCGACAGGAAGGTGTGCTTCTGGTCGTTGATATCGTGCGCAAAGAAAAGGTCGATGCCAAGGGTATCGTTCCAATCGTGTAGAACTGGAACGGTGCTGGGGCGGGCCACCTTCGGTCCCGCGCTCGCTTCGCAAACCTGGCATCTCATAGATCGTGCTGCTTTCAGCACCGGAGCTTCGCATCCAGCAAGACGAAGATGCCTCACAAAGTCATGCAATTGAGGATGGCCGAGATTCTGATGAAGTCGGCGCAAGGCGGTGGCGACACGTCCGGGTGTCTCCTTGGAGAACGTGATGCCATCGGCCCCAAGGACTGGAATCTCGCTCCCAGGGTCGTCGCCATTGCCTGTGCCGACCATGCAAACTTCGTGGGCTCGGTCCTCCCTTTCCACGATGATGCCGTCGGGGTTGCTCTTGAACAGGACGAGGAAGAACTTCCCGTCCTTCTCCTGGTAGTACTGGGTGTACTCCTTGCGGATCTTGTCGAAGCGGTTGTTGTAAGGAGGTTGTCGTCGAGCTGGCCATCAATGACAACCGTTCCGTTCTCATCAAGCTGCTGCTGGATGAGCTCAGCCAGGGCCTCGTGACATTGCGCCCCTTTTCCTTCTAGGTGCAGTCGTAGCTCGCGCGGTGTTCCGCCATTGATGATGTGATAGGCGGTCTCCTTGCCCTCGGGGGAGCGGTAAGTCTCCCAACTCATTGGCTCGAAGACGTCCTTTGAAAGGTCGGCCGCCTCCTCTGTAGCCTCAGTGCCGCCGACTTCGAACATAACGATGGGATGGTAATCCACCTGCGGGTAGAAGTGCTCGTTCATGTAGTTCCCGGCGGCACAGATGAAGCTCGCCATCATGACACTGATCCGGGCGGCGTTGTTGAACAATGCCTTCCGGGTACTCCTCTTAGGCCGCTGCTTCTCGTCCACATCGAACCGACCCTTTCCGTTGGTCTTCGGCAATGGGAAACCACAGTTCCTGAGGTAGCTCTTCATGCCGAGGGAGACCTTCGGGTAGTTCCTCGTGGAGTGAAAGGTGAGAGACCATCGGTCTCCAGTCCAGGGCTCCGTGGCGTGCTTGAGGAAGGGATCGAACTCGTAGAACTTCCCGTTGGTGTCGTGGATCCGTCCCGGCAACCAATGCCCGGTACCGGCCCGTCTCCATTTGACGTCGCTCCCGATGTCGCCCTCCTCAACAGCGCGGTCTTCTAACCATATCTCGCCTCCAGCTCGCTGTCCGAGTGAGATCGTGTAGTTCCGACTCGCTTTGAGGTTGTGGAAGTCGTGGTGCACCTGGGTGCCGGCATTGCGCCCTACGGTCACCGACGTCCACGTAGCGTCCTTCCCAAGGCGACGCCTGGCGAACTCGTTCAGGTAGCAGACCATGGACCCATGTTGCTTGGTGTTAGTGGTAACACCGAAAGTTCCGCCATGAGAGTACAGGCCAAACGTCCGGTACTGCATCCGTGCGCCGTGCTCCCCAAAAACTTCGTCTCTTGTAGTTTTCACCTTGGGGAACTCGATGCCATCGAGGAGCTTCTTGAGGGTCTCCTCTGAGTAGTCGCAGTCGGCGATGGCCTGGACGAAGAGATCCTCGGCGGAGTGAGGGTCGATGCTGCAGGCGTAGTTCAAATGGTGCTCCTGCTGGCCGTCGAAGAGCTCCTTCTCGGTGATAAACACGTTGTGCTCGATGGTGTAATCGTCTCTCGAGCAACAAGCCTTAGGGTGCTCGATGGTCTTACTTCCAAAATGGCCGCCATCAACATCAAACCGAACCTTCCGTTCAGGTAGAAGAGCGCTAGGAAGATCTTGACGCCGGCCTGGAGGTTCTCCTTGTCGGGGAAGAAGCTCGCGTGGATCGTGTAGAAGTCGGTGGTCTCGAAGTCGGTCGTCAAGAGTGCTCTGGTCTGTCCCGCGTTGCTCTTTACTGCCACCGGGGGCGGGACGCCCGAGAGGCAGTGTCCCGTCATCGCTCACTTCTTTGGCGTCGCGGGAGACGCCTTTGCCTTGTCCTTCAAGATGGCCAAGCGAGCTTCCAGCTGCTGAATCTCCTCCAGCGTGCGGGGATCAATCTCGGCCTCCATCTCCTCGTGGGATCCGGTGCTCGGTGATGTGCGCTTGTGGACCTTCGGCGGAATCGGGTAGCCCTCGCGTCCGGGTTGTAGGCGAGCTTCCAGTCGTCCTCGTTCGGGTTCCAGGGAGCCCCTCGCGCCTTCGGTGGGATTGGCCGGGCCTCTCGCTCGGGGCTGTACCCCACCTTGGATCCGCTCCACCTCGAGCTCTGCGCTTCGCTCACCGTTTCGTTCTCCGGCTGGTAGGGCACGGTTGCATTCTCCTCGAAGGTGGTGCTGGTGCCGTAGTGGGTCTCGTGCTCCTTGTTCTCCCACCACTGAGCGAAGCGCACCAACTCTGGGTGGGGGTTCCCGTTCATGCGAATCTCCCTTGCTGCCCACATCCCGTACTGCCTGGGGATCTCGCCATACTCCCAGCCGGTGTAGCGCCCTATCTTCATCAGCTCCGTGGCCGGGGTGGCCACATGATCTCGCACCAGCCTGAGGAGATTTCCTTTGGCAATCTTCGCCGGATACAACACACCGAGCTCGTCGGCCTTCATCTTGGGCTCCGGTAGGGTGAGGTTCGTGATGGACTTCATCCGGTAGGAGGGGGACGTCGCCGAGTTGGCCATGCGGTGCTCCTGGATCACCGCCTTGATTTCCTCTATCGACCAGTTGCGATGCACAACCAGGCCGACCCGCGTGCACTCCTCCAGCAGCTGCACCTTCGTCATCTTGGTGATGGGCGGCGGCTTGCATGGCGCATCCATGTCCTCGGCGAGGATCAGCGAGGGAAGGTGGTGGCGAGCTACAAGGTCGCTTGGCAAAAGTGCTCACAAGATCTCGAAGCTTTGGTCGCCGCCCCTAGAACTCCATCTATCCACTTTGATCTCGAGTGGCTTTCCGTTCTTACAGCAGAGCCCTTCAGTGACGCGAACTTCACTAATGGACTCTAACCGCATGCCTTTCTGCACTGTGGACTGGGTCTTCCATGTGTAGGGGTTGCAAAGCGCTCTCCGAGGGGTGACATGAATCCTATGCCAGGCACATTCGCTCTCCAACCAAAAGTCAGTAGTGATCTTGGTTTTCTCCCACCACGACAAGAAAGAAGTAGCTTGGAGTTGATCTTGGGTAAGGAGTTCACGAACTGCCGGGTTTAGCTTCTTGTCATAGAAGATCCTAAACTTGCCTCCCCAATGTGGTTTAAGTTGGCCTTCACGTTGATGATCACAAATCGCAGGGGTAGTAGACGTGGTGGAGAGCCCATCGAACCTTGTGGCGTAGTCTGGGATCTCTGGGTCTGTAGAAGTAGAGGAGGTAACCTTGGGATCATCGTAGTGATTAAGGTGAGGGGTCTTAGGGCAAGCCACTGCAAACGCCAAGTATGCACGAGCGATCGAGGCTGCTGAGTCCGAAATGACGAGCTTTGCGCCGTCGCCTTCTGACCTAGGCGGTGTGATTGGTATGGCGGGGTGACCGGAAGAGGTAGTCACCAGGTCGAAGTCCATCAATCCGACCTTGTGGAAGCTGGCACGGTTAGCAGCAACATCGTACACCATCCCGAGCTGGGCCAGTGCACCCTTGGACAAAAGGAGCGGGATGTCGCCATTGGTGATTGATGTCTTCATCTCGACAATCTTATCCCCAAGTCTGAACTTCACGAGGACGTAGAAGGCCGAATGGTGCGCCTTACCAGTACCGAACTTGAAAGCCTCAGATTCCCTCACAAACTCCGGCTTGCCGAGGGAATCCTTCACAAGGTCACTGTAGTGTTGAAGCCAAGTTGTACCGGCAACCGACTTAGCGCAGGAAGTGTCAGTGATGCCGACGAGGATGGGACCATCGTGCCTGAGCACATAGACCTCGGAGGGCACGTGGTGGCACATATCGACCTCTTTGGCCCCTCGATTGGGGCACTCTGGGTCCTTATGCCAATGCCCCTTCTTACCGCAGCTCATACAGTAAGACCTCGCCTTCATCAACTTGATCTTTTCCTCACGCGAAGGGCCCGCACCGTTGCCAGAGCTTTTGTCCTTGCCAGCGATCTCCATTGTATCCTCGGGTCCTTGCCTGCTCGCGGTACTTGTCTTTGGCACTCTGGTACGTGGCGTAGGCAACGGCCACCTCTTCGGGAATGCCCTCGTCACCGTCGAAGTGGTCGAAGATCTCATCGCGGTCCTCGCCGTCGTCGTCGCCATCTGCATCTTCGGTGAGGTGGGCAGTGTAGGGCCGCTTTGCTTTGGATTCCCATGGTTTCCTATGGCCACGGTCATGTAGTACCGCAGCTTGCTGGAGCTTCAAGAGGTTGTACTGGTTCCCGACACTGGCCAACAGGTTAAGTTCTTGTGGTTCGTCCAGCTGAAGGCGATCCACGTAGAGCCAAGCAGCGCATTCTTGCGGTAGACAGCATCCCACCTCTCGATGGCGAGCATGCAGCCTGTCATACTCGCTGTTGTACTCCCGGATACTTTGTCCATTACGCCGTCTAAGCTTTCTGAAGAAGTCACTGAACGCTCTGCCGACTCTTGCAACTTCAAGATCCAGAAACCTTGCATTCAGCCATGCCACAAAGTACTCTACGCCACCATTGGAACCCAAACGGCTCACCGAAAGCTCCTCGGCTGCAACCCAAGCTTTCCCGGTCAGGCTCTGGTAGAGCACGAGTCCTTGTTGGCTCTCCGGCAAGTACGTCATTCTTCGCCAGGCCTCTATCTGTCTGAGATAGCTCCGAGTGGAGCCTCCCAGATCCTCAGAATCCTCGCCAGCGAAGCTTGGAACCGCCAACTTCTCTGAGGCCCTGCCGGGGCCATTCGTAGCCCGCCCGGACGAAGGAACATTCGCCTGGAAACCGCCGTTGTCGAAGTAGGACCAGCCATTCCAGGCTTGTCCTGCCCCATCCGTCCCGTTGTTCCACTGACCGCGGTGATGGTCTCCGTGATCGCTGCCTCGAGTTCCGCCTGCTCGACCATCTGCCGCGGGAGTTAGATAAGGATCATGCCAACCTTGGTCGCCATGAGGTCGTCGCCACCCATCGCGGTGGTCGCCTTGCGACCAGGGATCCCTGCCGTCGCTCCAGGGGTCGTCTGGTTTCCATTGTCCACCGCGATGCGAGTCTGCGGCCGTAGAAGCTTCCCAACTGCCGCGACGATCGTGGTCGCCGTGCTGGTAGCCGTTCTCCCAGCGACCAGTTTTATCCCAACCATTTCCCCATGATTGGGCGGCTTGGTCGCCCCCTTGGCTCTGCCAACGGTCACTCCAATCGCGAGTGTTGTCGGCAGTATGTCGTTGATCATACGAAGAACTGTGTGCATCGGAGTCTGGCAAACTGGTAGACTGCCTGCTTGGACGCTGGCCAAACACAGGCGCGGGCGGCGCATCGGGTGCCGCCGGGTAGACGTCGCCAACATCAAAACCAGGAGGAGGGCCGAGGCCATCTACTTGTCCACTGTCACGAAGCGGGGCTTGCTGCTGCCCATCGGCCGACATAGCACTAGGACCTACAGGAGCCGAGGCTCCGCTACCAATGTGAAACTAAAAGTACCGAGAGGGAAAACTAGAGCACCTACCCTAGGGGCACTAACTACAACCCTCCCGGTCTGGCCTCCGCACTGCTGAACGCCTGTTCCAGCATGCTCGAACACGATGCCTTGCGGTCAGTCGGGCGCTCCTACTTGCCAGAGAAACCAGTGTGCTCATACGGAAACAGCCCAGCTTCATCGGTAGATGCCATACATTCAAGTTTCACATTGAGGGTTTAGGGGTTTAGGGTTTAGGGATTTAGCATTTCGTGTTTAGGGTTTCGGGTTTAGGGGTTTAGGGCTTAAGTTTAAGATGGCTTAAGGGTTTAGAGTGGGGGCTCAGCCTGGGGCTTAGAGCTGGCTTCAGGGCAGCGGCTTTAGCTTTGAGGGTTTAGGGTTTAAGGTTTAGGGTTTAGGGTTTAGGGGTTAGGGTTTAAGGTTTAGGGTTCAGGGTTTAAGGGGGTTTGAGGTCGTCTCTGGGTGCAGAGGTTGATGGCACCGACCGACCCAAGCATGAACACTTCCTTTGCTTGCCATGGAATATCTGCTGCAGCAACTCGGCTGCTGTGAACAGGTATGCCTACGTCTGTGAGCATGGCATGTTTATTGAGCATGTTTCTGGGAGAAGCCAGTTAAGCCTGGAAGGAACTGACTATCTACAGAGGTCTGACAGCTGGAAACAGCGAGAGATTCAATGGTTGGAAATTGTAGCCTTTAGTTCGTTTTAACCTTGAATGCCCCGCCGCCAACATGGCACGAGAAGTACTAAACTTCGAGTCTGTGTTGTAGTCTGAAGAAGTACATACGGATGAGGCGGTTTAACACGTAGCCCGATGTCTTCTAAATGTGGGCGTGCGTCTTGGAAAACATGTGTAAGTATATATATATATACAGAGGCTCTTATTTATTCGTGTTTTCTTGGTTTATTTACCTACAATGTATACATTTATCACATATGCATACACACACTGTGCACCTCCCCCTAATTGACATGCATACATGCATAAACAGATATATATATATATATATGTGTACATATACACATATTTATGGTGTGTACACATATACTCATATACATATACATGTACATATACATATACACATGCATGCATACATACATACATACGTACATACATGTGTGTGTGTAGAAAGACAGCAAGAGAGAGAGAGACTAATTTACTAGCAAGCCCCTGCTACTTCAAGTACAGGTGTCCACCCGGAGGGACGTCGGCTCACTTCACCAGAGGCACGCTGTGTGATGTGCTGCAGTCAGACGTGTACTAACACCCTCACAAGAGGCTGACCAAAATCAAGGCAATAGGTCTGTGATTTATACATGTACATATATATATATACACATATATATATATACACATATATATGTATACACATACATATGCATACAGGTTTAGATTATACATATATATATATATGCATGAGCAGATTATTAAGTTTCGTAGCTGTGTTGGCCAGAATGTGTCCGCAAGGTTGGCTCGAGATTTCCGGTATTGGGTCCTATATGGATTCATGGATTCTGAACTGAGTTTGCTTCGAACCGCCATAGCAGTCGCACGTTTTTTTAAAGCACACCGTTTCGCATCTATTCCGTTGTGGGTTACGAGCTGCAGACAAGGCTGGCCCCCTAAACACTAAACCCCAAAACCCCAAAACCCGGCAAGGCTAAACTACCGAGGTTCCCCCCAAGGGCACCCTCTGTGCCTATGTGGGTGAGACTCACACACTTATGCAAAGCCTCAGAGTAGTTCCCAACCATAGGAATCTTATGCGGCGCGACCTAGCGAGATAATAACATACCGATAACCCAACAGGCTTTTCTTATAATTGAGGCCAACCTCTATTATGTATCCTAACCCTAAGCCCTAAACCCTAAACCCAAAACCCTGTCATGTCTTCTTCAGTACCGGGCTCCATTTCCCAAGCCTTGATCCGGTAACTCGGGGTTGCAGCTGTTTTTGGACTTAGGGTTTAGTGCTTCGGGTTTAGGTCGTTTATTTGTTGTAGGGCTTAGGGTTTAGGGTTTAGGGTTTAGAATGTCGTTTGTTTTTGTGTTTCGGCTTCGAGGTTTCCGGTTTATGGAATGACATGAACACATTCACCAAACTTTCTGATCAGAAGAAGCACTGATCTCCAAGGTGTTCCCCTTAATTAATCCCCCAAGTGCGAGACAGGTATCCTTTTACAGTTTAGGTTCAGGGTTTGAGAACCTTTCTTTTGAACAGGCTCGGATAGCATGACGATGAACATCGCCCCGACGGTACTCCTGACTACTTGTGTTGATGCGAGGGCACAGGTGTATTTCCAGAGACTTCTTTATTCCTTGAATCAAGGGCGGCTATTCCTTAATTCATACAGGGCATCTAACTTACGATGATTCAAAGACTACTCCTTGAGTGATGTTTGTCTGGCGCAATGCTCAAATCCAAAGGGCTGACTTCACCCACTGCCTTTGCCCCATTTGCTTCGAGCCGGATGACCGCTTGATTTTTGCTCTGGGGGGGTTGTCATATTGAGCACCGCACTAACGTAGGGCTCAGGGTTTAGGGTTGAGGGTGGTGCATCACAGCTGAGCAGAAACGGACGAAACCATAACTCCCCGTCGGTTTTTTTGGTGTGCGCCAAGCACAATGGGCGCCTTTCAAGAACTCGCCCCCAAAGAGCAAAAGATTGGGCACCGACAAAAACTGGGCTCCCTAGTAGTGAGCCTGGCAAGAGGGTTTATTGCACCCTCTTCTGATCCCAATCCTGCTGCTTCTTCTAGTCCTAGTACTTCTCCTGCTGCTCAATACTCTACTAAATGGAGGTTGATGGGTACATGTAAGCAGGGTTATGTTTTGTTGTATGTATCTTAAGTAAGTACGTAGGATCGTAACATATTTATTATATATACTCTAGGTATAGGCATGCTTGTCTCGGGAGCTATCATGCGTTCGCGAGCCCCTCTGCAGATGCGTTTGGCTCGCAAGTTCCCAGGCACTTGTAACAGAAGCCTTGTTGAGTTGCTCCCAATCCCTCTGAAGCTTTGAAGGGTAATTAGGGTTATTAACTTAGTAATTAGGAATTGCCTCGCTTCCGCTTCACTATTGTTGCAGCTGCTACTGTTTTGTTGCCTGTGCCTAGTGGTGTGGGCTATCTTACCCAGAAGATCAAGGGCAGGTGTTGCGGCTCAACGTCGTATTCGCGAACATCGGCAGGCATGGCTTGAACAAATGGAACAAGGGCAGGCATTGCTGCAGAGCAAAGGAACAGCAGAAATTGATTCGGCAACTGACCTACACACCTACACACGCTCAGCGATGCTGCTGTGGACGTTGGTTTCGATGTGGCTCCAGATCATGTTATGGGTTCTCTAGCGGATGCTGCCCCAGATGTTTCACTAAATGTTGCTGATGATGTTGAGGAGCCAATCCAGATACACACGCTCAGCGATGCTGCTGGCGAACTGCAGTTATTGCCCATGGACGCGAGTGGCACCACTTCTGTGAGTTCACCTGCTGTCGAAGACGCTCAACCGTCGGTGTGTGGTGCCGCTTCTGCCAGTCCACTACCGCCTCCAGAGAGCATCACCAATGCAACTGCAGAGCCCAACTTAGATCAGCTAGAGCAGTTTCAGTTCGATTTGGCCATGAGTGCGTCTGCAGCGAATGCCGCCCCACATGCTGCGCTGAATGTTGCTGATAATGCTGAGGAGCCAAACCAGAATGCACCTTTCAGGGTTGGCATACAAGGGTTCATCCAAAGGCGTCGTGTCATGACTTGGGCAGGCTTTGCGCCCAGCTCCCCCATTCGTGATTTGCACAGTCAGCTGCTGCAGATGCATCTGGTCGAACAGGAGCTGAGGAGATTTACGTCGTCCAGGCTACGATTATTTTTTCAAGGACGGGAACTGATGGATTTTGATCAAAGGCTGAATGGCATTGGGATCCGATCAGGATCTGTGGTTCTGTTTGCACTCAGCAGGCCGGTGCCTCAAGATGTGGAGTACGATTCAGACGATTCGGACCTCTACAGCCCACCTCGCGATTGAAGCGCTCTGTGCGGATTACGATGATCTGAGTGTCTCTCAAAACTACAGCAAGAACGAACGCTTTTAACGCCATACTACTTCGGGGCTTCTGAAAGTATATAGTAGAGATTGCCATCACGTTACCAACACATCTGCACACCATGGAATGGCCAGCAGATAGACAGATGCAAGTCCCGCAAATTCTGACCTTCGTGCCCGCCCCAGGGTTACCCCGGCGCCCCGAGGATTAAAATAATTTAAGTCCGGGGCCCTGCCCAATATTGAAATTATTTAGATTATTTAAATGGGCCTATGAAGAGGCTCTTGTTGAACCCTAAACCCTAAACCCTAAACCCTAAACCCTACACAGCTACACCGGCCGACCCCGAATCCCTCGGGTCCTAACATTTAGAGAGCCTCTAAGAATTCGTTTAGCCCCGAAACCCCAGACCCCTTAAGCCCTAAACCCCTAAACCTTAAACTTACATGGATGGTTGTCAAAATTATGGTCTCTTTTTGAGTCCTTATTACATTACGGCACCTATTATTCAGGGTACCCCAAAAGGGACCATAGTTTTGACAACTACCCATATAGCCCTAAATCATCCTCGGAAGCAACACTTAGTCTGCCAGGTCTCCGGGTTGCTGCCTGCGCCTCGAAGTTGTTTCTGGGTCCGCTGTATTCGGGCTTTACCGTATGGGATTAGGGCTTAGGGTTTAGGGTTTAGGGTTCAGAGGTTTGGGGTTTCGGGTTTAGGGGTTGAGGGCTCGGGGTTTAGGGCTACTTAGCTGCTACTTGGACACTTGTAATGTCAGAGCCCTTGAAAATAGTGGTTATAAGTTGTTCAGAAGTCAGAACAAGAAGAAAAGGTGTACTACTGTATTACTGGTGTAGGGTTTCGGTACAGTGGTTCAGGGTGGAGGTCCTAGGCCATTGCTTCTGT